TACAATTCCTACTAGTATCTCCCCGTAACAGCAAGGACAACAGATCATTGCTGAGTTGCAAACTAACAGCAGAAAGCCTGTGAGAAGAGCTTAAATCTTATTGCCCCTTATCTTCAGAAGGCAGCTGAGAAGCTTCAGGAACACATCTAGTTCCTTCCCATCCTAGAAATCAAGATTTAACAGGACAGCAGACCATTACTCACCTTGTAACCACTTGTGATGAAAAAGTTCTTTGCTACAATAACCTTTATACGCTTACTAAAAGAGCAAACTCAAGCAGTACGGGAATCCATGACCGAATACTGGTAATGAAGTAATTAGTCTAGCTTCATCAAGAAGTAGTATCGTTCAAGTGAAGAAAAGTCTGGTTTTACTGACCATTTTAAGTAGAATTGGCTTCAGCCAAATTCTTATAGGAACTAGAAAGAAAAGCATGCAATGAAAGGAAGGCACTACCATTCTTTAATCATTAGTCAGACAACTCCGGGGTGTCACATACTATGAGGAATACGACAGTGAAGACGATCTGCATCTTCTAACACAGTTGAGAAGCAAAAGCTTTCCATCACTGTTTTAGACATGTTTAAAATTATTGTATTCATACCTCTTTCAATTCTGAAAGGAAACTGCCACAATGCTGAGGGCTCATTCAGCTAACGCAAGATGAACCATCAAATATTGGATGCAGAAGAGAAGTTAAGACTATTCAGTTTCCTCTGACAAAAAGTGACTTTTAGTTCTACAACACATCAAATCGAAGTCAATGTTTAGCTTCCAGTCTCAAAATGCCACACCAGTTTATTATGGTCTTCATCTGTTGATATGAGACCCTCTGTAGCTCTTCACTGAAGTGTTTTCAAGTTGCTGTGAGCGGCTGTATCAAGTAAAGGCAGAACTGAAGGTCACACACTGATTTTCTTCCTGTACTTACTCAAGATGAGGAGACTTAGGTCATGGAAAAAGCTGTTTTTCCTTAGAAATTTCCTCAATAAAGCAGAGGACGATACTTAATTTGCAGACTTAGTCAAATTGAAATAAAGACAGACAAACCAAACTCCTAGTGCTCAGTTTCATGGTTCTGAAATCACTGGGAGAGGAAACATTACATTGGAAAGCAGGGACAGTGCTTGGGAAAAATACGCAATCTCCCTTCTGCCAAAAACAAACCTTGATTATCAAATAAAAAGAGTTTGTTTACAGATTATTTTCAATGAAATCACTCAGGAGGATTGAATTCCACCCAGAAATACTTTTCATAACATCTTTGCTGAGCTACATTCAAAAACCAGAAGAGGAAAATCCAATCCTCCTCCTGTATGCCAGTAAATACAGCATCATGTAAGTGCTGGGCAACCACCAGTTAACTCCATAACCTCAGCAATCCCTGCCCTTTACAACCTGCCAGGAAAAGTTGGCATAATTAATTATCAACATGGATTCAACAGTAGATATTGCAATGATCTCATTTATTTTGCAAGATGAATGCTACAATATTTTTATAACTGCTATAATCAAATGCATTTATGACGGGTTGTACTTCAGCTTATTTTAATACAACATTTACAAAGACATTTCCTTATGTCTGTCTTTTGTTTGCTGTGCTAGTTTATAGAACTCAGTAGCTTGTACGGGCTTGTCTACTGCAATGTGATAGTGTATATTAAAGACTTCTCCAGTTCTTAATAGATTACCATGAACAAATCCGTATCAGCTCACGAATTTAAGGATACTAGTGAAGGGCTTTTTCAGACTAATAATTACTGAAAACTATATACTCTGCACTGGCACACTGAAATTTTTACAAGACATGAATCTGCAACTATTCTGTTTAAGCAACACTTCAGCAAGGGGAAGGAGGACTGAGACAAGCTGATATGTTTCTTCCAAATACTACACCAGTTAGAAAAACTTATTTCACTACGCTAGTCCTACCAACAAAAGCTGTGCATGAAGATCAGTTGCCCAGTGAATTGCATTTGCTAAAAACGCAGAAACAGGTAAGAGATCATCTTCAGGATCTAAGGGTGCTAATTTCAAAATACTGCAACTGTTGCCAGGCTAACCAGGCAAGAAAAAAGATGCCGAGTCTGTGTGTGCACGCACACGTCTGTGTGTATATATATGTGCCATACAGAAAATAAATATACACATACAATGTAACTTGTGATTAAAAAGTTTCAAATATAAACTGAGTAAGAAAGCTATTAAGGCCAGAAACTGCCGTTTAATTTTTCAGCAAAAAAGCATCGTTTCAATTAATGCACCATTCTCTTAAATACTGACTTCCAGACTTTGCTCTTCAGTCTTTTTTCTAATGCATATTACAATGCATTCAAAAGGATATTTAACACACTTAAGTTTTAGTTTTTCCCAGGCAGCTCAGAATTTAATTCCACGCTGGTTCCCTGGTTCATTACTAGGTGCTACAATCGATAAGATCACACATCTCCATTACACAGGGAACACAGAATGCTCCCTCAGCGCTTCAAACAATCACTTCCCTTTTTTGCAAAAAATATCTCAAGCTCCATCTTCTATTCCAGTAGTCTTTGAATAAGAAACAAATCACCTCAATGGAAATGCATCAGTACTCCCACAGCTCCATACTTCCTATACATTTTGTATACCAATGCTACCGCCTGCTGTACTGTTAACACTGAAGGGAAGAAATCCCCCCTGCTTTTCCAGACTATTTTCCACTTTTAAATATACATAGGTATCTCAGGAATTGTTTTTAAATTGCCTTTGAAAACTAGTGGTTTAGTGAGATTAACGCTATTTTTCTTTTTTCTACAAAGATTTCCAACAAAAAACCAGGCACGCATGAATCGAAATAAGAGGTGCTTTAACAGTTTGCAAATCTCACACCTTAAGAAGCCACTAAGTTAATGAAGTTGAACAAAAGTTTAGGCAAATTTATGTTTGGAAGGAAACGGTTGATGTGCCACATCAGCTGGTGTAGCCAATGTAGTAAGTCAACAACAGACTGTCAAACGACAGACCAGACGCTTTTCCCAGTTGCATGCCCTCAGAAACCAAGGGAAAAGCACTTCACAGCATTCCCGAACCACACCTCTGGATCCGCAAAAAGTGAAAGAGTGGGTGCTTCCCTCCAGTCGCCTCAACTGAAACCCACTACAAACATGCAGCAGAACGCTCATGCTAATAGAAAGGCTTTTTTTCTTTCCTAACACACAATAGCTACCATATTTCAATGTTCTATATATGGTGTCTGTGTCAAAAAAAGTAAGAAATCTTGGTTTAGAGACTATTTATACCTGCCTACCTTCATGGTATCAACAACTTCCCTGACTCCGTTTCTACCACCATGTCCCTTTTAGTGATTACCTATACACCTAAAAATTTAAGGGTCCGTTGGACCGAAAATTATCACCTGAGTATTTTTCTGTTAGCAAAACAGTAGAGACTTACGAGATGAGGAGAAACAGCATTGAGCTTTTCTCTTATGTATCCAACTATCTTGCTTATGACTCAACAGATGGCCAGCAGGTTCCATTTGAACACACCTCCTGAAACAGCAGGGTTTGTCAGAAAAAAACCCAACAACGTTTAACTTGGAATTGCTTATCGCTTTAAAAAAAGATTGCAACACTAACGGATTGCAATAAACAGGGTAAAACTCCTTCCCAGTTGATTAAATACATTTCACAACACAGCTAGCTTCATTTTTAAAAAAAAAAAAAAGACAAGCTTTTCGACTGAATTTGGCTTGATTATCTTTACTGTAAAGATCTTTTCATTTAGTCTGAATGGTTGAATTCAAGAACCATGATCACCTTTCACTAACTACTCACATGACATACCCTTAAAAACATCATGCCAATTTATTGTTCATAAATTACTAAACAGAGCTCTTCACATGGTAGATATTCAAGAAATTTTCTCTTTCTTGGGATGGATAATTTAGAGCTACAAAGCAGAGCTACCCAACTATCCTTAATCGTTACACTTACATTTCTTTCACTGAGTTACTCTGTAAGCTTAAAACGGCATGCCAGATGAAACTCAGGAAAAAAGGTCACTAGCAAAAGTATCTAAACCAAAGTACAACACATGATACCATTAATAACCTTACCAAAGATTAGAGATGTTAGTGAAAAGTCTTTAATGATCCTTGACTACTTTCTAGTCTCCTGTTAACAGTCAGAAAGAAAACATCCCTGTATGATACTGGCACAAAATTTCAGTTCTTAGCTGGAAAACAAGTACTGACTTCTCAGGGACCAAGACACCTACTTCAGCGTTCCCCAAAGTTGCAACTGAGCTTGAGGCTGTTTATTCCACAAGACCAGAGATTTTAAGTTTCAAGTTCCTTGGGGGAAGGAAAGGGGAGGGAAGAAGAGAGCAGTCAAAACTGTCTTACTCCTATCACTACTGAAGTAAAGCAATACAGACTTGCTTGCTGAGAAGAAATATGCCCGTAAACAAAACACACACTTTCTCTTCATTTCCCAATCCAGACTAAATTACTGAATTCAGTAACACTATTAAGACTGGACTTTAGCATAAAGAGGAGGCAAAACCTGGCAACACAGATTACACAAATACTTTATAAAGAAAACAAGTATCTTATTCTTTGATGCAGTCCTTTGGATACAGCACATAGAATTGGCTGCAATTAGGTCATCACGCAGTACCGCTAAGAAGATTTTAGATTTAAGAACACTAAAAAAAGATAGAAGCATGCTCTGTATGAACACAGACTCGCTTAAATATTTCAAAGCATTTTCAAAGAATGAACGTTTGCAATGAGATCGCACCTAATATGCTGAAAGTTTAATCTGTCACATTCAAAAAGAAAATGGACCGTTTAGAAGTTATGGATAATAAAACACATACATCAAGATCACATTTTAAGACATTGTAAAATACTTTAAAAAGTTTTCTTAATTTTTGCTGCAGGTAACTTGAAGCTTTAACAGAAAAGCAAGGAGCCAAAATAAATCTATCCAAACGAAATGTTTCTCTTAATATATTACCTTTCTTTGATTGCAGATATCTCACAGCCCTTATCAAAGTAGGCCAGATCCGTTTCATTTCCCTAAGGTTAAGCTGGTGAACGGTATACAGAGTATTCATCAACTAAGGAACAGCCACCATTCAACAATAAATATAGCACGAGCTATTTCTCATCTGTCCTATTTTATTTTCTTTTGTAGGCTGAGATGTAGCTTTTTCTAGAAATCATCACAATTGGTAGCTGTGAAGATGCTGATGCCTTTGTCCTCTTATGCAACTCCTGGTGTCCCCCTTCTCCCCCCAGCAGG